GGCTGGCACACGCCGGAGCAGGGCAGGAGAACCCCCCCGCACCCCCCCTCGGCAGGGATGGAGGGGAGCGTGGCACCTGCGCACAGCACGGCGCCGCAACCATCGTGGCCCTGCCATGCGCCTGGTGCCCAAGAGGGCAGCAACGGGAGCAGACTGGGAAGCCTGCACCATCTGGCATCTGTGCCAAGGTGTCCCAAGAAACTCCAGAAACTGCCTGGACTGTTTTCATGCTGCTGTGTTCCCCTTCCAGAAAATGCCAGGGTCACTAAAACCCCAGTGAGGCAGTTACTCCATCGATGTAAAAAAGCACAGGCTCCAACTCGTCCTGGCTGTGACCCTGGCTGAGGACATCGGTGCACATTTGGGCTGTAGCACCCCAGTTGTAGCACCAGGCCAAGCTCTAACTTGCCTTAGGGAAACCTGGTACGAAGCATCCAAGACCCAGTGTGTGCAAAGGCTTTGCTTCAGAGCAGAGATGCACCAGAGTGGACAGCAGATGGAAAAATAAAGCTGAAATTGGATGCCAAGAGAGTGAGCAAACCCTGCTGGACAGAGATAAACAGGGATGGGAAATGCAGCCCTAGGAAGAAGCAGGTTTACTTCAGTGGTGTGTCTGCCGCCCCTGAGGGCCATTGGTGGACATGAAGGTGATCTCCATGAATGACAAGGTGCTGCTGACAGGCCCACTGCAAAAACTGTTGGTCTCTTCATTGGCTGTATCATGAAGGGAGTGAGTAAAGATTGGTGGAGAGAAAAACGAGCAGTCTGAGAATGTAGGCACACAAGTGGAGACCCCAGTGTGATGTGCTTTGTGTTCCTGGACTGCCCTACATCTACTGGATAGATAAGGGACAGACCTTGCCACAGTGCAGTGGCTTGCACAAAGGCACCGAACCTGTCTGCAGTGCTGTCTGGAGTGTCTGTCATGCTGCAGTGGTGGCAATCAGTGGCTTGCACAAAGGCACCGAACCTGTCTGCAGTGCTGTCTGGAGTGTCTGTCATGCTCTTGCTCAGAGTGGGGATGGCTTTCCTGTGCTGTACCTGCTGGACACATGTGTGAGAGCCTTGGCATCTCATGTAACATTAAAGGCCTCTATTTGGGTGTTAAATAGAGTAACTGCCTAGAATTTGATTAGGCAATGTGGGAATGAAAACTGTCATTATAGTCAACAGAGATCTAGTCAACCCAGCTGATAGAAAATACGGAGAAAAGTAGCTCTCCCTATGACACAGGACACTATTTGGTCAGGTGGCAGCATAGGCTGTCGAGAAAATATTAAATAAGGACAGGCGCAGCTGTCTTGCACATGTCTTGGACAACCTTTGGTACCTCAAACGTCACCAGATAATTCATCTGAACAGCCAACTCCTGACCTACATCTTCATCAATTACCATGGGAGCTGAGACAAGGATGCAGGTGTCTAATGCCTGCCTGAACTGAGGCAAGAGGATTCCTACCTCCTCTGGGTTTGTGACAGGCCTGAGAGAGAGCTCAGTCCCCCTTCCAGCAGCAACGATAGACATGCAGGATGAGATGCCTTGATTGACTCAGCTGAATCCCTTCCCTTGGCAGGAGTAAAGAAGATCCCTGCCTGTCGTTGTCTGGGTGTCCTGCCTAATAATAAGACAAAAAAGGTGATTTTTAGATTTATCTCTGTCTCAGATAGGAGAAATGACACTGCTGGAAAGAAGTGTCTCTCCCCAGCTGAGGGAGGGGACATCAGGGATGATTTCAGCCTGTTTCACAGCAGGTTCCCCTGGAGCCCCAGGGACACCTGGAGGGAGCCCACAGGGGACAGAGCAAGTGCTGCTTCTGGCTGGTTCTCTGCTGCGGAGCTGGGCTGGGCTCCTGGGATGGAGGGAGCTCCTGGCAAGTGGGCAGCGCTGCAGAGAGACAGCTCTGCCCAGGAGCAGCTCCCCTGCAAAGGGCAGCAGGGCTGAGGGCACTGCCTGCAGGCACGGAGGGGTGAGAAGTGAGGCAGGGAGAGGTTAAAGGCAGTCTGGAGTGGGAGGACAGAGCTGAGCTTGTTCACAGATAAATCTTCACAGCATTTGACGCGGTAAGTCTCTGTCAGCAGGGCAGTTGCAGATGAGTATTCTGGACAGCTCTTCCAGAGCTGGCAAATCCCATGACTGATAGGACCTGTCAGGATGTCTGTCTTGGCTTCCCTGGTGTGAAGAAGGACGTGCTGTAGGGAAGGGCTTCCCTGCTGCCCTGTCAGAAGGACAGGGCATGACGGCTGCCTTCTCCCAGGGATGGCTGCAGGGGTGTGAAGCCAGTTGTGTAGCCAGGGGTGCCCAGGGCTGTGTATCAGAGAAGGGTCCCTGTGACCCAGGGGGCTGTGTGACAGGGCAAGGACTCTTCTGACTGCCAGGGTCAGCACTCAGCCTTCCCAGGGAGCTCCCCGTGGTGCCATGGGGGGAAGCTCAGTGTGGAAGGAGAAACCCCTGGCAGGGAAGGCAGTGTCCTGCTGTTGAGAGGGTACTGCATGGACCAGGGCTGCTCACAGCTCCAGCTTACCCTCAGGGCATTTCCAAGGGGACTTTTCAAGAGGAAGGTCAAAACAGTGATTACGTTAAATGGAAGGAATTGATGCTTTGAGTTTTCTCATCTTGGTTGGCTGGGTGGGCAATGGGAGATCAAAATTTATTTCTCTCCTCTGGAGAAAACGCTCAGACCCCAGTTCTAATTAGAACTTCTCTGAGTGTCTCCTGAGCTCTTGCACTTACAGTGATGCTCCTAGGAAGTGCCTTGCTACCAGGAGGTATTTGCAGGGCAGAGCAGAGAACACAGTGGGTGGGATGGGATCTGTGATCACAGACAGGGAGAACACATGGGGGCAGAGAAACAGCTCCTGGCAGAGACAGCTCCAGGCAGTAGAGCCGTAGGCAAGGAGGGAGAGGGAGCTGCTGCCAGAAATGCCATGGGAGGGTGGATTTGAGTACCTCCCTCACATCCCCTGCAATGCAAACACTCTGGAGCAATGTCCTGGTCTCCTCTCCTATCTGACACAGCCTCTGCCCCCAGGATTGTGGGGTTTCAGGCTTAGTTTTCTTCTTCACAGCCTGACCCCCAATAAGGAGCAACACCTGAGTGCCTGTCTTTCTGTCCCTGTCCTTCCTCCCTTGGCAGGTGCATTGGGGCATTTCTCCGTGTTTCCCTTCTTGTCCTTGCTGCCTTTGTCCCCACCTTACCTGCAGGATCTGGGCACTGCAGTGTGGGGGTCTGGCAATGAGCTGACCCTCACTTCAGGACAACTTGTATTTAGGATTTTTGACTATTTCCCTGGGGGTCCTGCTAGGCTTCAGGCTGTCTCCCATCAGGGCACAGGTCTCCCATGGCATCTCTGTGCCCTAAAGTGGAGCCCCATGGAGAGGAAAACTGGGTGCTAAAGCCATGGCAATGCTGCTCACCATCTCTGTGGGGGCAGCCGTGATGAGTCCTCTGTGTCTTTGGCTGGGAGGAGGTAGCTGAGATCCGTCTCGAGTACGATGAGATGGCAGGGAGCGGCTTGGAGATCTGCGCTGGGAAACTGGATTCCTCTTTTCTCAGCAGTGTCCAGCTTCTTCTCTGGGGAACATCAGGGGGCAATCATCCTCCAGCTTTCTGCCTTAAAAACACTCCTCAGTTGTGGTGAGGCAAAAAGAACAAAATACACAAACCAAAATCCCCACAGCTCTGCTCTGCTGTTGGGTGAAATGGGAACAACAATGATGAAAAGCTCATTGGCATCAGAACTGGATTTAATCTGAGTTCACGCTGTGTTCCTATTTACCTGTTGTTGTAGGGCAGGACTGACACTTCAGAAGGCCACAGGAAAGCTCCCTTCTCCCAATGGCACCTTCTGCCAACACCACACAGAGCTTATAAAGGGACATGACAAAGGTCTACCTTAAAGGTGTAAGGTTTCTGTGAGAACTGGAACAGGTTTTGCTCAGAGAACTCTGCCTTAACTACTCACTGCCTATTCCTCTTTGAACAGGTCCCCATGTCCAGAAGCAGCAAATGTCCAATGCCAGCTCCATCTCCGAGTTCCTCCTCCTGGCATTTGCAGACACGTGGGAGCTGCAGCTCTTGCACTTCTGGCTCTTCCTGGGCATCTACCTGCTTGCCCTCCTGGGAAACGGCCTCATAATCACCACCGTAGCCTGCGAACAATGCCTCCACACCCCCATGTACTTCTTCCTCCTCAGTCTCTCCATCCTCGACCTGGCCTCCATCTCTACCACTGTCCCCAAAGCCATGGCCAATTCCTTGCAGGACACCAGGGACATTTCCTACCTGGGATGTGCTGCACAGGTCTTTCTGTTTGTCTTTTTCATGTCAGCAGAGTTTTCTCTTCTCACTGTCATGGCCTATGACCGCTACGTTGCCATCTGCAAACACCTGCACTACGGGACCGTCCTGGGCAGCAGAGCTTGTGTCTGCATGGCAGCAGCTGCCTGGGGCAGTGGGTTCCTCTATGCTGTCCTTCACACTGCCAATACACTTTCCCTCCCACTCTGCCAAGGCAATTCTGTGGACCAGTTCTTCTGCGAACTTCCCCAGATCCTCAAGCTCTCCTGTTCAGATGCCTACCTCGGGGAATTTCAACTTCTTGTGTTTAGTGCTTTTGCCTTTTTGGGGTGTTTTATTTTCATTGTGGTGTCCTATGTGCAGATTTTCAGGGCCATGCTGAGGATCCCCTCTCAGCTGGGACAGCACAAAGCTGTTTCCACGTGCCTCCCTCACCTGGCTGTGGTCTCTCTGTTTATGAGCACTGGCATGTTTGCCTACCTGAAGCCCCCCTCGATCTCTTCCCCATCCCTGAATCTAGTGGTTGCTGCTCTGTATGCATTGGTGCCTCCAGCAGTGAACCCCCTCATCTACAGCATGAGGAACCAGGAGCTCAAGAAAGCAGTGTGGAAAGTGTTGACTGAATGTTTTCCAGAAGCTATAGTGTGTCTATCTTCTTCAACTTAAGACTTGTAATGTAACTCATTACAGGCTCAGCCTTTCTTTATTAGTTTTTGTTCTTGTATTCTTGCTAGGAGGGTTTTTATTTTCTTGCTTTTTTTACCTGTGATAATGTTGCCCAGAAAGACATACAGACATTCCACTTCTGCTTCATTATCTACCTCACTAGTGTGACCCAGTGTAAATAAAGAGCTATACTCCTTCTCTAATTAAACAAAATCTATGTACTTGCATTGACTTGTCTGTCTGAGACCCAAGCAACTAAAACCAAACCAATTTTTTTTTTTATTTTTTTTTTTATCATTGGTTCTCCCTACCAAGTTAGAGGGGAAAAGAAGGTCCTAAAAACTTCATTGGAGACAGGGCAATGGAGTAATCATGGAATCCCCCCTCCTGGGGATGTGGAATGTTCCTAGTCCTTAGACAAAGCTCTTCCTCCTCTCTTTCATGACCTGCATCGTGTTTGTGCTTAGAAAACCCTCATCATCATGCTGGTGGCAGCAAACCAGCATCTGTCCCCCCCCATGAGCTTCTTCTTGGGACATTTGTCTTCCTAGGAGACCTTCTACAGATCCACCTCCCTTCCTCAGACAATGGCCAGCTTTGTCACCAGGGACAGCACCATTGCTGCTCATCATATTGTTAGTAGTGTTCCCTGCACCTTCTGCACGTACAGAGGTTTTACTACTGGTGACCATATCCTATGATCAGTAATGGTCTGTGTGCCACCCCCTCCTCTCTACAAGACTTATGAACAGGGACATCTGTCTCCAGAGGGCAGCTGCACCATCACTAGGGGGTTTTCTATCATCTACAGTAATCATTTTGGTTGTGTCCCAGATGCAGTTCTGTGGCCCCAGTGGAGTGGACCACTTCTGTGAATTCACCCCATTGCCAGAGCTCTCACACAGTGACGCCATGACACTCACGCTCTTCCCTTTCATGACCTGCTTTTTAGATCCCATCTTCCCCTTCCTGTTCACATGGTCATCCTGCGTGCATCAGAGCTGCCACCCTGGGACAGATCTCCCATCCAGTGTGCACAGGCAGAAGGCCTTCTCCACCTGCTCCTCTCACCTCATTAGTGCCACTGTTTTCTATGACACCCTCATCCTTGGGTATGTAATACCCAGAACAGCCTTCCTGAGATTTTTTGACAAAGCCCTTTTTTCTACCCATCCTCTACCGCTGCTCAATCCCTTCATCTGCAGTCTGAGGATCAGAAAGTTTGGAGGGCAGTGAACATCGAGAAAAACACTCAAGAAAGCTGTGAGCTGCTCAGAGAGCCAATGGCAGTTGTGGACCTGCAGGAAGAAATCACTCCTGGTTCTTTTTGAACCAGCCAAGAGGGCCTGGACTGGTGTGTGCTGTGTCTCAGGCATACCCCTGGAAGTGGGGGATATGGAGAAGGCTTTTGATGTGGGAAGGGGCAGAGAGGTAGGTGCTGATGGAGTTGGCTGGTGTCATTATGAGACCTCTCTCAAACATGTTGGAAAAGTGAGAGAGATCAGAGAGGTCCCAAGGTCCTCAGTAAAGGCAAATATCAAAGCCATGTTCAAGAAGGGCAAGAAGGAGCGTTGGGAGAATTACAGGCTGGTTAACTTCACCTCAGTCCCTAGGAAGGTGATGCGGCAAGTCCTCCTGCAGCCATCTCCAGGCACTTGGGGGACAAGAAAAAGATTGGTGAACCCATGTGGGAGGTGAAAGAAAGGCATGTTGTGTACCTGGACTTCTACAAGTCCTTGGATATGATATCCCACTGTGTCCTTAAAGAAGATTGTCGACATGAAGAAAAGGACAATGTGGTGGGCAGGAAGTTGGCTAGATGATCAGGAACAAATGCCGTCAGTGGTATACAAAGTCCTCTGAGGAGCCAGCTACTAGCAGCATCCCTCGGTGATCAGCAAAATGTCATAAAAAATCATTAAAAACCTGGGAATTAAGACTTTTTCAGCTGTTAGAGTTCTGTTTCTGCATAGGTTTCAACTTTTTTCTAAACTTTCTATTCTGGGATTGATTCAGTTGTTCACACAGAGGTGGCCATTGCATCCAAGATACCCTGGGGTATCTGAAGCACCTGTGTGGGAAAGGTAACCCAGGAACCCTTCTGGTGCATGAGCTGGTTTGCAGGCAGGGTACCTCTGGGATGGTGCAGGTCATCACCTTCCTCCAGTGGTGTTGGGTGGACTGTGAAGAGGCTGTGAAGAGGTCTTTCAAGCACAGAAGCACACCAGCAGCATAGATGCTGGCTGTGAGGTCACTTCTGACTGGTCAGCACTGGGGACAGAGATACTCAGAGGTCATGAAGGTCATCAGAAAGCTGCCCCACAAAAGATGACGCATTTGGGGAGGTCAGGAGGAGCCTGGGCAAGAGAAATGGGAGATTTGGGGGAAGGAAAAAAGGTTTGGACAACAGACGGAAAAGATTTTGAAGAGGTGAAATGGCTTAAAATGATGTTACTGTGAAAACACTGACTGAAAACCTTCATGTTAAGGGCTTACGCTACCTCTAACCAGTAACCTGAAGCCCTAACCCAACCCCTAAATGCTACTACTCCTCACCCTGACAGTAACCCACTGTTACTAACCTAACTAAGGTTAGGCGATACCTAACCTAAAATATTATGACTAAGCCAAATCCTGAACTCATAATCCCTTATCTTTACTCTTACCCTATTGCTCACCCTAGCCCCTAGCCTTTATCCTTAGCACCATAATGCTAGCCTTCCAGCCCTAAACAAAACTGTAACCCTGCTTTCAGCTGGGGTGGTGTTAATTTTCTTCCTATCAGCTGGCACAGCGCTGTGGTTTGGATTTAGTATGAGAATGTTGATAACACACTGATGGTTCAGTTGGTGCTGAGCAGGGCTTACACCAGTCAAGGCCTTTTCAGCTTTCCCTGCTCTGCCAGGGGCACAGGAGCTAGGAGGGGGCACAGCCAGGACAGCTGACCCCCACTGGCCAAAGGGCTATTCCATACCATATGATGTCATGCTCAGTATAGAAACTGGGGGGAGTTTGCCGGGGGGGGCAGCAAACGCTGCTTGGGGACAGGCTGGGAATAGGTTGGTGGGTGGTGAGCGGTTCCATCACTTATTTTCTTGGGTTTTGTTCCTTTTTTGTTGTTGTTGTTTTCCTTTTCACTACATTATTATTATTATTATTATTATTATTATTATTATTATTATTATTATTATTATTATTTCAATTATGAAACTGTTCTTATCTCAACCCACGAGTTTTCTTACTATTGGACTTTTGGTCTTTCAACTCTCACCCATCCCACTGGGGAGTGGGGGGAAGTGAGCGAGCACCTGTGTCGTGCTTAGTTGCTAGCTAGGGCTAAACCACAAAAAGCTGGGAGTACACAAGGTGTTGGGATGGGACACAGCTGGGACAGCTGACCCCAATTGACCAAAGGGCTATTCCATATCATATGACATCATACTCAGTATATAAGCTGGGGGAAGAAGAAGGAAGGAGAGACATTTGGAGTGATAGGGTTTGTCTTCCCATGTCACTGTTATGTGTGATGGAGCCATGATTTCCTGGAGATGGCTGAATGATGGGAAGCAGGGAATGAATTCCTTGTTTTGCTTTGCTTGCATATATGGCTTTTGCTTTTCCTGTCTTCACCTCAGTCAATGAGTTTTCTCACGTTTCCTCTTCTGATTCTCTCCCTAACCCCACTAGGGGCAGGGGAGTGAGCAAGCAGCTGTTTGAGACTCTGTTGCCAGCTGAGGTTAAACCATGACACACACACAATCCCCTCTGCCTATGTTCCTGGTAGACTCATCTGCGAACACACCTTGGATATGAGTTCTCATGTCCCTTCCACTAGAGTACATGAGAGAACAGCAGCAGGCATGTGGCATGGTTAAATCTACCTGAGAAGCTGGATTGGAAGATAATGGTGAGATTACTTTTGTCTGTTCAGTTGATAGGCCACAAGAAAGCTGATGGGTTGTGCTATCATTATGACATCAGTTGTGTCTGAGACGCTCATAGGCTCAGTAGAAGAGACATGAAGAGGAAATTCACTTTATTTTCCAGTGTCCTTGGGTGATTTGCCATGAACAGACACGTGGCTGGGGTGTTGACTACAACATTACTTCTGCCTGAGAACCTAATAGCTGGCAGCAAACACATGATTTGGTTGTTTTGTACCTGGAGGTTCTGGTTTGTTATGTCCCCATGAAGGCATGGAGACTCTGTGAAGAATCATTTGAAAGGCCATTTGGCAGAGCAAAGACTACAAACAAGGAGTGAATAAGCCCAACTGCATACAGGGCTGCATTAGCAGGACTGTGACCACCCAGAAAAGAGTGTATTCATACCCCTTAGATCAGCATGTCTGGACTGGTGTGTCTGTATCTGGGGCTCTCCGGTCTGGAATAATGGGGAAGAACTGGAGAGGGTCTAGATGAGATCTGCCAGGATGGGGTTTGATCCTCTGTGGAGAGGCTGAGGGACCTGGACTTGCTTAGCCTGATGAAGTGGAGGCTCAGGTGACTACAGTAGTAGCCTGCAACTGCTTGGAGACTAGTTACAGAAACAATGCTGCTTTTCTTGGTAGTGGGAAGAAACTGAAACCTCTACAAAGTGCAGCTAGGGAGGTTCAGACTGGTTGTCAGGAAAAAGAAATGTCACTCAAAGTCTAGTCTTCTGGTGCAAGAGGTCAGCCAGAGGGAGTCTGGATCATCCCTTGGCTTTGTGTTTCAAGGAACAGCCACTGAGGGTGGAAAGACATCGATGAAGGTCTGGAAGTCCTGGGGTGAGAGCCAGGTGCAAAGCAAGATGGACATCTCCATGCTGAAGGGA